GTAACAGTTGAAATGTCATACCTCATTGAATGACTGTGAGTAACCAAAGGTAGGAGATTTATTACTTTTTTGGATTTAATTGCACGAGTTGCATAGTTTCAAAAGTTGGATAGGCAATTTAGCAAATGTGGTATAAAGTTTTAAATGTATTTTCTCAAACATGTGAGCAGGGCTATCATAAAATCCCTGAAAACTTGAAAATTGTTTTTTTTTCGCCCAACACTAACTATTACTATCATCTGCTGCTCCAGCAATAACATTTAATAAAAAACCTCCAAATCCTGCTGTAGCATAAACCTCCTGAGTAACTGCTTTGAACTGTATACATTTTCAATCATTTTTATAGCACTTGCACTTTCTAAAATAAAGTTATCTCCCTAACATATTTAATGCATTGGATTTCAACTGAAAGCATATGAGAATTTTTAAAGGTTATTAAATAAACTATAAATGTTTAACAACAAGAATAAATCTAAAGTAGATCAATATAACTATTTCATTGACTCGTTAAGCTCTACTAGTTATATTTGATAGTACTATTTAAAATCAAATACTAAACATAATTCCTAAATGGTAAATTGCAGAAATAAAATATATCTCAATTTTACGATCATTTATTTACTCATAATACCAAAACATTCATTTACATCTCCCCATCTGTTTCAAAACAAGGACTTTGAAAAATTGTTGGCTTCTCACTGTGTATTTGCTATGTCATAGCAGATAGAGCGAGGGCAGTTCTAATTTGCAGAATCACACATAACCCTGATATGATTGTGTAGTAAGCAGAGAGTGAATGTTTCTAAAAAAGCATAATGTAACCCTCTGCTAAATGACCATGGGATGCTGACATAGATTTTAAAATGGGAACTCATAAATCATGACTAAAGTAGAGCTTACATACAGCTGCATGCATCTCTGTTAAAAAAAAAAAAAAAAAGTAATATAGATGGTAAGGCCTTTGATCCTTTCTATTGGCATTATTACAAAGGAGATAACAGAGAGGGAAGTAGACCAACGAGAAGGGTTTTTTGAAGACTATGATTACCGCCTGGCCAATATAATGGTTATCACTAAAGTGTTTGAATTTGTCTGATTTCTGAAATTACCAATGATTTCCTGATCATTTCCTGAAAATATGAATGCAGACATCCAATAGAGAGAAGATTTATAACTGCTTGTAGAAAAAAAAAACTAAAACCCAACCTGTTTGTTCAAACTAGAATGTTGCCGAGAATCCTTAATTCTATATATTTTAGCAGATAATACTGGGAAAAAAGTATCCTCCAGCACCAAACAGCATTGATGTAGATTAGAGACTATGATAACTGAAGTCTCTTTGTTGGCCAGGGAAACTGTTAAACTGCTTCATATTATGGATATTTCAGTCTAGAGTTTCTGATGAAATGAGAATTTCTGGCAGCTATTTCAGGCATCCAGCTGTGGATGTTCTCTCCTTAGAATTGCCTTAAAGAGCAGCACTTGCACAGTTTATTTATAAAGCAAAGAAGTGATTTGTGGATTCATTTAAATACTATAAGCAGTCGTGTGTAGGAAATAAATACAAGAGGACCTTACCAAAGTCCTTTCCTACTGTCAGTTTTTACATTCTTGATCAACTGAACTGACTTGTAAAAAGTGTAATCTTCACTGTACCTGAAGACAACAGGATTGGTTAACTGTTTAAATGGTGTTCTAGTTTCCAGTGATATCTGAACAGAGTCTTGTGAGAATTGTTGAAACATTTTAAGGATTGTTTCATAAGCAAGAGTTACATAACATAGAATTATATTACACAAAACCAATTGGGTAATAGAAACCTGCAAATTAGTTTATTGGATTTATCCATTCTAAAAATTCTTCAATAAGCAGCCAAGTCTCTGAGAGACATTCTACTAATTAAAATAACTGTATCTCCACAGCCTTAGCCCAAAACAAGCGAACTGAACAACTCTAAGAACCAATTCAAATGATAAATTATTTGTTCAGCAATAATGTTTTTTAGTTTTACAATACAGCATGCTTGGTCTGAGTCTTTTTTTCAAACTTCTGTCAATCCAGGTTAATTTTATATGACTCTTTTTGTTATGACTAAGTAAACTAATGCAAGAAAAGACATAGTCTCATTCTACTTTATCAGAAAGCATGGCCTGTGACCACACTGTTATTGGGACAGTCCAGACTGGAGAAGAGACAAGTAGTGGAGGTAAGGATGTCTTTAAACACATCCTTTCTCCTGCAAAGAGAAAAGGAATAATCTATTTTCCATGCTTACTGTTATAGTAGAACAAGAATTAATAGGCACAAATTCCATATAGAGAGGCTTCAAACAGGGTTCAGAAAAAGTTTGCCAACAGTGGGGCTAGCAAAGTACTAGAATAGATCAATTTCCTGAGAGAGTATGGAGCTATCTCTGAACACTTAAGAACAGAGTGGACTGACTCATAGTAATGCCATGGATGCATCTGGTTCTTGCTTGCAGTAGTGGCAATAATAAAAACATGACAGTAATAATAGCCTGAAGTTCAGGCTTCCTGAATTTCATTCTACTACTATCTTCCATGACCGTGTGGTTTCTTTGTCCTTTCAGGACAAAATCTGTTATCACCTTCCATTCCCCATCTAGACCATATGGCATCCAAGATATTTTGGTATAACGGAATAAAATTGAGTAAGAATTTAGCAAGGTTCAACTCTTGGATTGTTTTACGTGCATTACCTGCTATACAAAATGTATTCTTTATGCTTGTTTGTAAGAGGGTTTACAAAAAGCAATGTTCTGTAATTTGCTATGTGTATTTTTTAATCTGTGCTACCTTTTGAACTACTTTTTCACATATATAGTTCATGCAGCCAAACAGCACCTTGGTTTTTATCTATTTTCTGATTAAGTCAGTGTTGACTCACTGAATGGATAGAGCACATAAAAGAACAAAATACTGTCTTCCAAAATCTACTCCTTTCGTTTGTGGAAGGCATGTAAGGTATACACAGTGGTCTACAACTAAAGCAATATCCATCTGAAATAATGATATGAATAATAAGTGTATCTATGGTTAGTATCATGAAGTGGTATATATCATGTTTTCTTTACATGCTTTGATGAGTGTTATGTCCAAAAAGAATTCAGGTACTTTTGTAAAAGGATAAAAAGAAATAGAAGCTACGAGAGAAAGAAACTGAAAAAATACAGCAAAAGGTTGTGTACTTCAATTACAGAAGACCAAAGTGATTCTTCAGCAAGTGCTCTTACACAGGCAGGCTCATAGTCTTCAGCTGAAGTAGCCCATTGAAAACAAGATTCACAGATTGCCTAATACTACGTCCATCATGTTCTATGAAAACAGGTGGTCAGAGATGAGATCCTGACAGTGTCCTCAGTATGAGCTCACCCCATAATAGACACCAGGGAGTCCATATGAAGGGGTAATTTATGAAAATCCTGATTAAGGGAGAAGATTCAATAGGTGATTGCAGTTTGTTAGATGTCAGGGAAGCCTGTCATAAGAGAAAAGGAAACAAGGCTTCATTAGTTTTGCTAATCACAGAACAATGTGAGTTTTAATTACCAGATATATCTGCAATGTTAAAATTTCAAATAGATAGACATAAGCATTCTGTGATACTGAATGATGTCACAGTGAGGCAGAGTAAAAGCTGTGTGTGCCATTTTTAGTGACTGATTGGCCTTGACAGTAATACCATTTAAAGCACTTTATAATTCCAAAGCCCATTACCACCACTTAATTAATTCTTAGAACACCCCTGAGGGGTGCTGGTTGGAAGATAAGTTATAGTGTTTCTGGTTTAATGATGAAAACACTGAGACAGATCACTGAGCAGTGATAGTGCTTGGAATAGAATTCAAGTAAGGACTCTTAATCTAGAATCAAACTAAGACCTTGCTGAAGATGAAAATTTGCAGTACACTTTAAAGCTATATTTAAAGATAACCAAGATTAATAATATTTAAAATATTTTTGTGGTATTACTGAATGAATATTAAATAAACCTGCTTAGTACAGATGCATGAGTATCCCATAGCTTATAACTAATGCCAGGTCTGTATTAGTCATTAAATGTCATCAGAAAATTTTTTGCTACTGCAATCAATGCTAGGATATTCCAGTGTTGACACCAAAAGCCAACACTGATCAATAGTAAACATTCCTCATTGTGGCTTACAGGAATGAGGAGCAGTAGAGTTTCTTTTCCATTTCCGTGCAAATATATGCAGGATGGAGCTGGGAGTAAAAAATTTTATCCACTGGGAAATCTACAGATTACAAGTAAAGCCACCTCACTCTCATACATCCAGTAGTTTCTCAAATCCATTCAACTTGTGAGGGGTTAGTAAGCCACTTAAATTTGCAAGGAATTTTTTAGTATATGGCAGTCTGTTACTACTCCTTCTCCTTATCAGGGACTTGGAGGTCTTGGATAAAAGTAATATATCTTTTTAAGAAAGCAGTTACTTGTTTTTCTGATTGCCTGTCTTGTCGTGCTGTGATATTTGTACATAAGTGTTTGGTTTTTTTCAAAAACTTCCTGGCAGATACTGGCAATGTTCTTAAAGATGAACTTTTTGTATGATAACATTATCAGCTACTACTTAGTGATACTATGTAGCATTCCTAAATGAATAAACCTGATCTAACTTTATCTTTCCTATTTGTTAAATAATAGCATATAGAAGTACACATTGTAAATTAATTAATAATTTTAATGAGGAGTTCATGACATTGCTAAATAAAATCCATATGTAGACATAATTTAGTCAAGTTAATCTCTTTACTTTCTCTTACGTATAGAAACTGTAGTTTTGTTCCTGGGAATGTGATATTGCCCTTTATTCCATTGAATGTTGCAGGTGTTTTGTATTTGTCACTTTATGCAGTTAAGCAAGCGTATGGAAATCGAGGACAATGAATAGGACAGCAGTACAAATGTATGTAGCTTCTGTATCACTCACATTTTGTATTTTGTTATTATTTTTACAGCGAATGCCATAACTCTACAGATAGAATAAAAGTGAGAGTGTGGGATGAAGATGATGACATCAAATCCAGAGTAAAACAGCATTTCAAAAAGGAATCAGACGACTTCCTCGGGCAAACAATCATTGAAGTAAGAACACTGAGTGGAGAAATGGATGTATGGTATAATTTAGGTATGATTCTTACTGATTTTTTTAAACCAAATTTAGGTAGAATCTCAGCATCTGTAGATTTGGGATTTCAAAATATATAGAATTGGTACCAATATACCACTTCTAAAATATTGAATATTACAGGATGATTTGAAAATGAAAGTTATTTTCTTAGTTTTGATCCAGAGTTATGACAATTACAGAGAGCAAACTAGTCTCAACAATATCAAAGAAAAATATTTAATTTTAATGCAAAATAAAAAATATGTAAGAGAACACAACACTTCAGACTAGTCCATTCACAGTTGCATTCTGTGGGAAATACATCTACAAAGATACACAGAAAAATCTAGCAAATATTTTGCTTGTTGTCTGCATTCATTTTACCACACATTCTTAAAAATTATTTATATTATATTCTGGGCATAATCATCTTTGGTTTTCACTGTGTTTACACATGTGGTTCTTCAGGAAACTTACTGGAGTTTTCTGTTCTGTACATGTCAGATGTGTTTACATGCAGAGGCATAAGCTGAGGACAGCCTGCTAAAGCTCAAAATACTCTGTTGTCCTCAGTGACTGCACTTTCTTGTCTGGACAGGTCTTAAGAAGTATCGTTCTTTAAACCAGAAATAAATCAATGAAAGCGTGTCTCCATATATTTCCTTTATCTGAGTCTAAGCATGCAACTGTTAATTCTAAAAATCTTTTTGAATGCACTAAATGTTCTGGAGTAGCCTTTTAAAAGTTAATCTCCTGTATTTTATAATAAAGATGTGATAGTAACATTTTTATTTAGGTTGCCTGCTCTGTGAAAACTTTGGGTGAATTATGTGACACATTTTTCTGAAATTGTAGAGCATTTGTTTCCTACAATACACAAACAAGTGTCCTTGTTTCACTGTCTAGTGTTTCATTTCCCAGTGATACATATAGATGTGGCAGGGAACTATGTGATTTCTCATTGACAATGAAAAGAGAGTCTTACTTTATTTCTGATTTATAATGAGTTTTTTTAAAAGGTAGGATAATTGGGTCATTAGGAATTCTGAATTTTATTCCTTCAAAAATTCCAGTGACTTAAACTGATATAAATACGGATATAAATTATTATGATATGGATTTTTAGAACCGATCTTGCTGAATTGATTTGACTGGAAGCAGTTTAATAATAACATTGGAAATCATGTGCCCTGCAAAAGGAAGAATCTGCAATGAAAATCTTTCAATCAGCAGCTAAAAAGAAATAGTGGTAAATAGCTTGTGATAATTCTAATGTTCTAAAAAAAATGGCATATTTTATTCTGATACATTGACACAACTGCAGTATGTTACGTCATACAGAGGAAAGCGGAGTGAAATACTTGAACAAAACAATTGGATTGGCGTGATACCAATTCATATTCATTGTACTGTTCATCACCACTCACAGCACAGCACTCTGAAAGAATCATAAAATTTGTAGTACCTGTTTACTCAGTTACACTACTAGAGTGGATTGGAAAAGTGAAAACTGGAGTCAGATGATCAGTAACTTCCACAATGAGTGATAGTAACTAAATGGACTAGAACAGATAGCAGAAACAAAGTTCCTGATATCATTTCTTCTGTAAGATTCATCTTAGCTCTGTAATTGAGTTCTGCTAAGAACATTTTGAGTTTCTGTCAGACATAGCAGTTCAGGTTGTTGCTAAAGTTCGTAACTAAAGGAAAATATCAATAATGAAAATAATTAATTCAGATGCCAGATAGAAAATGGAAATAATTTCTATTGAAAAGGGAAAAGTGTTGAATAAAGTGCTGTGCAGCCTGGTTTGAATTTGGCAGATAAAATAAGAAAGACTGTTTACTTCATAGTTTGATATTCTGCTTCATGGCCTGAACTATATGAGAGGTATTAAAAGAAAAAAAAATTCTCTTGTTCTCACCAGCAGGACTTTCTGGCTTTAAAAAACATTCTTATTAAGTTAGAATGATTTACGAAAGCTTTTCACATGACGTATATATATTCTTGGCAGTTACTAATATATTGTTTTTCTATTTTCTACTCTTCAGAAAAGCGAACAGATAAATCAGCTGTCTCTGGTGCCATTAGATTGAAAATCAATGTTGAAATAAAAGGAGAGGAGAAGGTTGCTCCGTACCATGTTCAGTACACCTGTCTGCATGAGGTATGTTGGAGAAGTTAAAGCATACTATAGACAGATTGTTTTTCACTTGTTGCATGGATAAGGAAAAAAGGATTAGAACATTAGAACACTGAAACAAATAACTGCTGCTACACCTCAGGACAAGTTTATTTTAGATTTCCCACTTTGTATTGCTGGTGACATATCAGGCTCAGAGTCAAAGGCAGAACAATGTAACATCAACAGATCACTCCTGCCAGTAGGAGCTAGGTAGAAGTGGAGTCAGTTAAGTTCTCCCTGTACCATGTTTTGGTTTAGCATTTTGATGCTCCACACATGCTTGCCAACATCAAGAAGATACAGCCACTTCTGTGTGTTACAGAAATATGGCTATTAATTGTAAAGGACTTCTTTCCTGCTATGTTAATTCATGTTTTGAGAAAGTGAGAAAAAGCAGAAGCATAGGCAATATAAAATCTGGTTTTCCTATCATCTAGTTTGCTTTTATCACTGTTGAAAAAACATCACTGATAAACCACTGTGTCTTTTGAAAGATTTTCTTTGTATTTGATTCCTCTTCCCTCGAACATGATCTGCACTGAAGTTCTGTTCTAAAAATACAAGTACTTTCTGAAAGCCGATAGATACTATATGGCTGAAAGTTTGGCACTAGTATGTGTTCACAAAATCCCATTCTTCACCATTTGTAAAATCGGATATTCAGGGCATTTGTACTCATGGATTTTGACCTGATGTTGCAAATGTTTTGACCTGTGAAGTAAATGGCAAAATTCTGTTGCTTTAAGATAATCCACAAGACAGATATGTGCTAATTAGCAGAACTGAAATGATTTCAAAGTTTTGAGATTATTTTTTTTTTTTGTCACTGAAAATAGAAAATCAAATCTGCTGCTTAGTTTGTGGATACATACAGAACTAGGTAATCTGAGAAGCATTCTATGACATTAATGTCAAATTAAATACTAGCTTTGGTCCTAAGGTTGCGAAACCTAAACTTTACCGCATGCCTTTCACTAATTGAGAGGCTTCTGCAATATTTCTGATAGGTTTCCTGTAACTTACAGTTCTTTAATAATGAATTTGAAATTTATTGATCACAGATCTAATTAAAGTTGAAGCACTATGTGGTGAGCATTACTGCTTCACAATTTCATTCATTATCAAGGGTATATGATAGAGAAGAGAAAGTTTCTGTACGATTCTATGTTGCAGTCCCTCTGTGCCACTTCACTGACGTGACCTTATATCAAGCAGATAGATCGATGCACTGAATCACAAGCCTGCACTATCAGAGTTCCATTACAAAAAATGCGTTTAGTCTTGGGTTTTTTGTTTAGCAAATGATGACTAGTGAGTGCCAGTCTTCGGAAAAATTAAAACAAACAAACAAAAAACAACACAAACCTAACAATGAACATATTGATGACTATTGTATAGGATATACTTTCAGAATGCCACTTAAAAGCCAAAAATTCCTCTTTGAAACATTTCTTACATTTAGAATCTATTCCATTACTTGACGGAAGTTAAATCTAATGGTGTTGTAAAAATCCCTGAAGTGAGAGGTGATGAAGCCTGGAAGGTGTACTTTGATGACACTGCACAAGAAATTGTAGATGAATTTGCAATGCGCTATGGAATTGAATATATTTATCAAGCTATGACGTAAGTATTATCACGTCTGGTTTTCTACTCTACTTTCAAGAATACGTTTGAGGGAAGTCATGAGTTCCAAGCCTTCATGCTTTCATTCTCCATTTCACTCTCATTCCTGATTTAAAATTTTTGTTATTTTTTTTGTCCCTCTGACTCTCATTGAAGTGCTTCTCATCTGCAATGGAATTAAGATATATTATAAGCATTTTACAAGCTGTTACTGGTATTACCACTAATGCGTTTCTCAATCCTTATCATACTGATATGTGGCAAGGATCAGAAAGACTTCCATTGTTCTAGATGGGATTGGGATGGTAGAACAGGGTTTCACAATCTATGTACTCTTTTCCTAGGAGAGCAGAAATCATCACAGAACACCAGTGATTACTGTAGTAGACTTCTGTAGTATATGTAAATGGTTCATGCAAACCATTTTTAATGGTATTAGAACCTGTTACTACGTTGTCCGTACTAACGTAGTGTCTGATAACTTTAGGACATAGTACCACTGAGCTTAGAGGCTTGAGGATACAAGAGCTCCATCATGTGTTCTTAATTTGTCCAGTGAAAAGTTTCCCATGTTTTAATGCTCTTCCTCCAAGGACCTTAAACAACATTGCACAGGAGAATTAATTAAGCCTGACAGTTCCCCTGTGGTGTTCTATATCTGTGCTATATATGGAGGAACATGCATTGAGTTTCATGAACATTTGGGTTTTCACGTTTAGCTTCTCTATAGCCGTGCATGTCTTTACATTTGATTAAATTATATTACTTATTAACTAGCATAGTATTATAGTTTTATAACTTGATTTAAATTGGTATGCCATTTTTACCAAAATGTTCATCTTTAAAATAATAGAGTTGTTCCTGCTGTATGAATCAAAATGAATTCAAGGTTTTCTATGAGATGAATTCTCAAGAGCTATTAATGCCAAGGGAGGGCTGTTATTACTGTTTTGCTTAGGAAATAAAGCAGGACTGATTTAGCATTAGTGTTTCCTTTTAACTGTAGCCTCAGTAGTTGGTTATCTCAATACAGCATGACTGTATTTTTGATGGACAACCTCAACTGAAACATTATTTTGAAGTTTCTTTTAATTCATCTCTTGATGACTGCCAGTACTCTGACATTTTCTAGAGAAATTTTGAAACTGACTTTAGAAATTCAAGTGTAGCAAAAATAGCAATATAATTGACGTATGAGCATTTTAAAAGCTTTTTCATTAGCAGTGTTAGAAATGAACAGGTTATATTCTAATATAAAGAAGATCCTGTATTTTTATATCAGTAAGTAACATAACATACAGATATTCATGAAAAGGAAGTAAATTTAGTCTGAACATCTAACATGGAGCTGGGCAAGTACTGCAACACATTTTTCAGGAATCCTTACTTAAAAATTCTAACTAAGCCATTTTAAGTTAAATTACCTACTTTGGCTTGTCTTCTTTTTTTCTTGCTTTCTTCTGTACCTTGTCCACCAAATTTCCTTGCTGTTCATGACTGCAAACCAGTCATTTGAAGGCAGGTGTAATCAGAAGATGAATTTGATATTGGTAGTCACAGGTAATTTACACAGGAAATAAAATCTAAGATTTTTAACCCCTATACCATTTGCATTTTAAAATGTTGCATGTTAATAATGAGCAATCCCTATTTGAGAGGTAGACCACATACTGTTTAAGGCCTCCTCCTGTTTAAGTTAGGCATAAAATCAATACTAAATTTAATCTCAAATAATACTTGGAGAAGAATATATGTTCATATACATTGTTTTGCTGGTTCATCTGCAGCCGTCTCTTGATAAGAGCATTCAGACTTTGAGGAGAAGAGTAGTGAAGACACTAGATCTATCATGGGGAATTTTCTTTTGGGCTATTATCCTTGGTTTTATTTCTGTTTATGAGATCACCTATTTCTCCTGGAACAACTTTAATGGCTGGGAGAAAACTTACAGCTTCTTGATTTGGAAAATCGAATGATCAGATTCCATTTGGTAACAATGTACTCCTACTAAAAGAAAAGCAATTTTCTACCATACAACTGAGAGAGGATTTGAATGTAATCACTTGGCCCAAAGGAATATTGTGTAAACATTTTACGCTCAAGAATCTAGTTGCAGAATATTTCTATTGCATGCCTCATGATAACTTTGTAAATTAAAATGTTTGCCTTTGTAAATGCAAAGCTGACTGTGCTTTCATAGCCCACGATCCAGACCCCAGAGTGCATCCACATGGTTCTGATGCACTGTATCAGGCTCAAGTGAGTTTTAGGGTGTTGCTAATGAGGTGCTTTTTTTGTCTGAATGTAATTTTTAAAATTCGTATTTGTTTGCAGTTTTAAAATTACCTATTATATAAAGCTTCAGTACCACTTAATGATAGGCAGTCTTGACACTTTTAGGTATGGGTAGACAGCAAATGCTGGAGTAGGAACACGTGCCATTCTGCATTTCTGAACGCAATGTAAATCTCATTAAGCATCCCTAAAGTACCACTTCCTAGAACAATTTGGTATCTTGTTCTGCTACAGTAATAAACAACCCCACTTGTCTATCATTTCAGGTTCATTCTAGTGGCTTTGTCATCTGTGATTCTCTTAGCAGACCCTGATTATTTTTTTCTGGCTCTCAAATTAATATTTATTTATATTTATTCCTTTAGAGTACAGAAATAATATTTCAGAAGGATAGCCTTGATTTGCCAAATACACTGAGTATACTCATCAACCACAATTGTGACTGCTCAGCAAAAATATACAAGAATTTAGATCAGTTTATTGTTTCAGTGCCTGACTGCTTCATGGAAAATCAGTCCTATAGATGACCAACTAAAAGTGCTGAAAACATAAAGCTCAAATTCTTCTCCTCTCTCAACCAGCATCAGGAAAGAAATTCTGCAGTTTCTGCTATTTAAAACATGTCATGTGTGAGTCAGTGTTTGATTCTAGATTAGAAGGAAATGATCTGTGCACCACCAAAGACTTAGTGGCATGTGGATATCAACCCAAAAGATATCACATAGATCGTTACTTACCTGCCTTAGTCATTGTCCCCAGTGAGACCTTTCTCATTAAACTTATGAAGAGAATGAATTCAAGTGTGATCGCACCTGTTGTTCGAGACAGATATACTCACGTTTTTATGAGACTAAATGTAGACAGTTCCTCCCTAAAGGATGCCCACTTAGGAAGGATGTCTTACTCTCAAGATATGGATTCCAACTGCACAGTTCCTAAGCAAGAAAATCTATTTTTAAGTTACCAGATGTGGAATTCACATGATTAGAAAATCAAACATTGACTCAAAACCAAAATACAACAAAAAGTCTGCTTTGTGTTGCAGTAACTGCACCTCATTGAAAAGTTTTGATTATACAGATTCCATAATCCACTCTTCTTTCTTGTAATTATTATATTCCTCCACTCCTTATGGAGTCTGTATTGGGAAAAGAAATGAAAGACAATTACACCCATTCTTACATGGATCAGAAAAGATTTATTTATTTTTTGTGATGGATAGCAGCCAAATAGATGCTGTTAGCTACACAATATGTGTATACTCCCAGAAGTCATAGCACATATGTGTCAGGGAATAGAAAAGAAAATAGATATGAGAAAACAGATTAACAAAAGCAGAAGAACAGCTCAGTGATCTAGCTGGCTTTTATTTTGATGACTGCTGGGATGGATGGTGATTTATTCTGTAAATTTAATGTCTTGAAGGAATCATACTGGAAGTTTATTTACCTATATATACTAAGCCACCTCACCACCACCAAGAAAAAATAATTTTCTTCCTCTCATTAATCTTTCAACATAATTTATTTCTCTTTAGAAGGCAAAAAACAGAGCATGTATTGAAATGGTGTTTGACGAGACAATGAAATTATGTATAACATCAGCATCCTGGATTTACTGTGTAGTGGAGTTGAGTGCAATAAAAGCTCTATTAAGATCTTTGCTACTTACTGGCAAGAGTCACCACAGGTAGAACCTAATGCTTCTAAATCAGCAACATAGATCTCATTCCAGCAGGTTAATGGGCATTAACTGTGCCATTTTGTTCACCTGCTAGTCTTCAGTTAATGTGGCTGCATTGCAAAAAGCACACAAATCACCCATTAAAGTAATTTTCATTGATAGCATTTGCTTACTGAGTAGAGCACGTTAATTAGCCTTCTTTCTTTGCCATGCTAGCAGAAAGATTGGAAGAGTTACAGGCACTGTATGTTGGTCAGGAAATTACATAGTAAGGAAGTTGAAGCAAGCAGGCCTGAGTTTAAACATGTTACTCTAGCTTAAACGATGCAATATTACTCTAAAATCTGTGAGACTTCGCAATGGTTGCTGTGACATCATGTGCCCATTAGAAATTGTTAATAACTCATGCTATTGGCTGCTGTTTTCAGACCTACAAAAACAAGGAAGGAAGTTTCTTCTCTGATTTATTTATTTTAGCAAGCAGAAGGAAGCCAGGTGGCTTGCAGATTTTTTACCTGGGTTATCAGCACTCTGAATCATGACCCATATTGCACATAATAAACTTAATAGGTTTGGTGAACTTTGTAGATTTTAATTTAATGGAGAAGCAAAAATTCACAGAACCTGTCACTTGACACAGGTGCTTTATCGATCAAATTTCAATGCTAATTTTCACTAACCAAATTACAGGTGGAAGAGTGTAGTAATATAATAAAGACATAAATAAATTACATCAATAGGTTTACATTTTCCTCACAACAAATTAGTACAATTGGGTCTATTTTGAAGCTAAGAGCTCAGTCCAGGCATTGGGCAGCTCAGTGTGAAATCATTAGAAGAACCTGCAGAATACACCTCACTGAACTTAAAATGTTGACCCAAACTATTTTTCCACAGTCTTGTCATGTTCCTGCAGGCAGTTGGTACAATCTTGATGGCTTCTCACATAGTGACGGCTGCTGATTGTCCCTTTTGTCTGCCTTCTTCCCTCAGCAGAGCATGTGTTATAGGTATGACTCTAAGGCCAGTGGGGTTATTAGTGCCTTCTTATCTCAAGCTTGGTGTTCTTCACGTACTAAGGATCTTTATGTCCACTAGAAAATTTTTGGAAATCAAATGGTAATAGTATATGTCAATTATTTTATTATGTCAATTGCTTAAAAAATAGTTCTGATCATCTCTACATATATTTCTCAAAATGCATGTGATGAGATCAGGTGAGATTTCTATTAGCTTTAAAGGTTACCTGAAACCGGTGAGAATCACCTAACATCACTATTCTATTTTATACAAAGGAATTATTGTTCTTCTAGTTGATAGGAAACATGACATACAATGAAAGATTTTCCTAAAGAGTAGGTGGCTGTGTTGCACGTTTGTCAGATTCACGTCGTGATGTTTAAAAGCACTTCTGAAAAATACTGGCAACAAGTGAAAGGTTTAGTAGTATTATCCCTATGAGACACATAGCTGGGAACGCTGAGTTCTAGTCCTGGCCCCTGTGATTGATTTACTGTGGAGGTTTGAGCAATTTCTCTCAATTTTGTAAAATGGAGATAATAGTGCTTAATGATCTACCTTACAGGAATGCAGAGAAGTATTTGCAAAGCACTTTGAACATGACCACCATGATACAAGTTTTAAGTATCAATATACATCACCACATCGTGCAAGACTGTGTGATATATAAACCCAGCATGAAAATGCTTTAAAGAGAGTCTAATGCGAGAGAAAGCCCACAAAGTGGGTCTCCTTCCTTGGCCTGGAAAGGCTGCAAATACAGAGGGACTCCACATATGAAGACTGTAGCCCTAGATTCTCTTTAATATGAGCCTGTCTCTCTTTCCTCCCATCGCCGGTTGGATCCCTTCTTTTCCAGTCTCTTTGCCAAGTCAGGTAAACTAGCAAATCCAGCAACTATTCAGCTCCTCAGTCTAGCTTTGGTGTGGGATTAAAGGCTTGATATCGCAGTATCCACTCCTGTTGAAACCTTATGTCCTTAACACTTCAGAGACTTTGGATGATACTTTAAAGAAGCAAAGTTTCTGCAGCCTTGGAACATCAGAAAGCAGGAATATGATTAACTGGGTCAGTCACAAGAGCATGAGTCAGGCCTCAGAATTAAGGAATTTAGAAGACCACTGGGACAATAAGAGGGTATCAGAAAGTATAGTGTAAGTAGAGTGAGTTTGTGTGCAGCCTTGCAAGAAAGTATGAAGAGCTCATTTTTTATGTATTTAGGAACAGGAATCCAAATACGAGATGCAAATAATCTTGAATGACATAGTTGCAGGATTATTTGAACAGTGACAGCAGTTAAGGGTACTTGGCTTAAGTTCAGCAAGACCAAGTTCAGTTGTACCTTTCTTGGATGGGTACTAGGGCCCAGGTCGTTCAGGCCCAGCACACTGCTCTGCCTTTTGCTCCTAAAGTGAAACAGTAGAGAGGAGCCAGAGATTCCAGCTGAGAGGAGGATGCTGCCAAATCAGGACGTTCAGACACATAGAGAGCTCCAGAGTGACTGGAGTTTCTTCATCCTCTTCTGTTTGACTAGGCATCTTCTCTGCCTAATCCCCCTCCCTCTTTCCTATCTCTATACAGTTACTTTATCCCTTTATCTTCCTCCCAATCCTTCCTAACTATAAGTCTTGAAATTAAAATTTTATGTTTTGCAATGTTGTTTACTCTCCTCGTGTTAGATCTTTCATCCATCTTGTATTTCATATTTTCTTATAAGCTCGTTGTACACTATAAGCAGACATCTGTTGTTTTGAACAAGGAAACAGTGCTGTTATGTTGCAAGTCTGGTTTTGGCTGGTGCAGTACAGCAAGTTGTTTAGGCTTTTAATTTCTGTGGGCTCAATTTTAATTTCAGTTTAAGAATTTGAATCTGACTAAAGTTAGAATTCTAAATGCTTCGCTGATTCTGAGATTTAGAAACTAGTAAAATAATAAAACATGACCTATTGTAATTCATATATTGTCTTTGCATTTTATTAGTATTTGGAAAAACCAAAGAGAATACATAAAATATTCCTGATTTTAATTTATTGTAAATTAGTTGAACATTACTTCCATCCCACTTCAAATACCGTATATTGACAACAGCTTTACCTTTCTTTCAGTGACCTGACGTTGTTTTCTCACTGATTCGTCAGCATTTAAAATTTCACCTCATAAATTCTAGTTGTCCATGAACCAGACTGCTTAAAAATCAGAGCTGATTTAATACACTCAGACCTGGGTGGAAGTCAGTGTTGGGGTATTCTTACATTTGCTAGCCTGAGGTGCTGTGAGCAATAATGGTCTTTGGTTTCTTTAAGAAAAGTGAAACAGAAAGGTTACTAGCAAGTCAGAGACTGAAAAGTATTAGCAACTAGAAAAACACTTCAGTTATTTTGTCTATGATCAGCACTCAGCCTTATTCTTACTTTCAAGATTCTGTTGAATACAAGCTGGAACTCCATCCAAAAAAAAAATGTTTCCGGTTAGAAGCTATAAAGTTTGAAATTGCTAAATGCTGGCATCCTGAGGGAGATGATGTTCAACCTGGGGACTGGTTTTACTCACATTCTTGTGTGGCAGTTTCTTCCTTTCCTCTCTTCCTTTCCATAGTAGAACTCAACATTACGTGAGCATAAGCCCTCATACGTGTACTCTGACCTGTGCAGCTCTACATACCGCAGAAGCAAACTGCTCAGTGCCAGATCTTCTCAGAAGTGCCTTAGAACAGCTCTGAACTGCTCCTAGTGGGAGTATGAGGCTTACCCAACCGTTTCTCCTTCTCTTGCTACTATCAGCTTCAGCCTTCAAAAGCCAACTGAGTTCATAACTCTGAGCTTCCTACTTCTTCCAGTAGTGTGCCTCACTGTATAAATGCCCAGATTGCTATGCTGTGTGCATGCAGCACAAAGATATCTCTGTGACTTTAATCTCCCTTGTTAGTCTGAGATGCCACAGGGCTGGCAGTGCTGTAGCTTCTCTCTGGGGTCAAAACAATCCAGATCAGGGAGCTGAATAGCAGTTGCAGGCTTGTAAGAGAGTGTAAATCTCCTCAGACTCTGCAGGAAATGGAAGATAGAGCCTTTTCTCTCCTGAAGACCCAAACGGGCTCAGTGACAGACTTTCGCTTTTCTTAAACATTGTTTCCCAATATGAATCTGGTCCAAGTTTAACAGATTGATTACCTAAACTTTGGTGTTCTGAATCAAAGTGGAACAGTTTCAGTTAAGGCCTAAATCAAATCAAGGTGAACCCAGAAGTTGCTTGATGCCTCACCGTTCATGAATAATGTAGGCTAAAATACAAGCCACAGTAGAATGCTGGTTCGAGTCTTTTTATTGGCATCAATCAAATCTTTCTTCACTATAGTATAGATCTCTTGTGACCTTTTATGATGATAAGTTTGTGTTTGATTTTAAGGGATTTTTAATAATGAACATTTTGCTTAATAGCAATTAAGATAGTTAAATCATGTTTTTGTATTTAGGATTAACGGATTAAGAGGAAAATGTGAGTCTGGTGTGTTCAAATTGAAAATATCAGTGTGTGACATTTGCAATTGTATCAAACACGTCTGGATTTTCCTCGTGTATCTGCACAATTGTCCATGAGGTAGCTTGGAAGTTACACTGAAAATAAATTGTGGTGAGAGAAAGAGCAGCATGTTTGCCATCTGTAATAACTGTCAATTTGTTTGCGTTGTAGGCACTTTTCCTGTCTGTCTTCTAAATATATGTGCCCTGGTGTTCCAGCAGTTATGAGTACGTTGTTGGCCAATATAAATGCTTTCTATGCTCATACTACAGCAGCAACTAATGTATCTGCCTCAGATCGGTTTGCAGCTACTAACTTTGGGGTAAGCAGACTTTCCTTTTTAATAGAATACTAGTCCTGATCTTTTTTTTTTGCTAATATATGATACCATGTTAACTTCTAAATTAAAAAATTTTTTAAAGTTGGTAATTTTAAAGAATAAGAGTGGCTGTTAGTTTTTGAAAATTTTACCTTGAGTCTTTACAGTCAATCACTATAAAAGCTAGAGAGATGCTACTTGGTCCTTATATAGGGATATATAAGGCATACAGGGTAAAAGGCAGTGGCACACATGCATAGTACTAAAATCTTCAACAACCAGTTTTTGGTTTTATTGCAGTGAGGCTTGCAAACTACAAGCTGAAGGAGACTAAGTATTGGTTGCAATCGCTTTTGGGCTATGTGTCATCAGTGAACTCATATTAACGGATCAAGCCATAAATACTATTCTTCTCACAAGAGCCTGTAATGACGGACTCTTATTTTTGCTGAAATAATGGTGCGCTGTCCAAGTGCTGGGTTTAGGTATCAGAAATTTTAGGAGGAATACTAGCACCTCAGGATGTGGTAGTACTTTTTTTGTTGTTCCTAACTTCCCTTCTGTGGATAGGTACCTCACAATGCAGACCTCCTAATCTTTGAACATGATAAAAAATAAAGATATGTTCATTTTGTAGTCTAATTTGTTCACCTGCTCTCACTGAGGAGACGAGAGCAGGAAGGGAGAGCAATAATTCAAAGACATTGCTTTCATATTTCTACTATCACACATGATGCAGACAGAGATAAGAGTATAAACACAATTTGATGCTTAAAAATGCATTCATTCCTTCCTCTTTTTTGATATGGCGGTTATTTGTATGGCTGATATCAAAGCTATTTTTCATTTAACAGTAGCTATGAAAACATGGTATTTTTTTCTAAAATACCATTTATTGACATGAAATTAAATATTAAGCATAATTAAAATTTATTAAATGCACATTATACTTGTTTGAAGTACTAATGCTCTTCAGTATTAAGAATAATAGGAACGTTATGAATTTCAGGATGTTCAAAACAACATTATGAAATTACACATTTGGACTAGTAAACCAAGAAAGACTTAATTCTAGTTTTGCTTTTGTCTTCCCATAAGAAGTCAGAAACACAATTATCATACTATGCTTAGTAAAGTAATTCAATCCATGCCTGGAAAAAAAAAGTGTAAATGTTTAGTTTTGTAAATAAAATTTGCCCTGGATGCTGAAACAAATTTTTATTTGTTGCAAACACTGTAT